ATAAGCCTAACTTTCCGTGATTTGAAGATATTAAAAATGTGCAATTACAATTCCATGTTCAGTTACTTTAGCATTTTAATCATACAGCACATCCACTTAATCTTAATTATTCTAAATCTCTTTTCTTTTTGTAGTGTCACTATAGCTACCAGTGGCTTAAGGACAAAGACAAGACAAGATATGTAATAAGGAGCATCTTTTACTTGACCAGCTAGTATGGTTGGAAAAAATAGGCAGAGTTTAAGGTCCACACACCATTCTTCAAGTCTGAAATACCAGTAGCAAAATTCATACTGTAGAACAATAGCCTTGAGTATAATGAGGTGAATCCATTAAAGCATCTTAGAGGTAAAGGAAGTGGATGCTTGTGGAACAGAGCAGGTGTTAGCATGTGGGGCAAGAAAGTAGTTTGTGCCTGGCTTCCCTTGGAAGGTGTTTTGTGCACCTTCCAAGGAGAATAGGATGAGATACTAGAAATATAATAATCACTTCTGAAGCAAAGTTCTCTTCCTCTGGGCCAGCAGTAACACTGGTCAGCACTGGAGGTAGCGTATCAAGCAGCACTGAGCGTGATGCCTGTTTGTTTCTAGAACCCATGTTTTAGGGGAAAGTAGCTTGCAACAAATTATTTAATCTGGATGTAATCACAGTATCTGAATTCTCAGCCTATGTTAACTTGCTTCTAACTTGATGCAGGTAGTAACGTAAATGCAGCAGGCATGGAAGCTAGGGAAGAAAATAAAACCAGCTGCTTGCAAGCAGTTTCCATAAAAGAAGGATGCATGTCCCTGAGGATGCAGGTGAGGCTGGAGGGTCTGGTGCCTCACTGCCATTGCACTGAGTGTGGTCTCTAATTTAGGGCTCTTGGAGCTGAGGTTAACTGCCTGTTGGTACTTTCAGCAGGCACTTCACCCCCGGCAGTCTGGCCTCAGCATTTTTCTGCCTAATTCAAGTTTACTTTTTTTTTTCACCACTTCAGAAAATTCCTGGGAAGTTCAAGAAACTTTTCACTGAACTTGAAAGTCTGACGGTAAGTACAGAGTTGACAGCAGAATGTCATTGCTTGTCTTCACCTGCCTTCCTTCTTCCTAATTTATTTGGAGGTTGCCTGTAACTGTCTGGAGCTGGACCTGTCATGTCAAATCTGTGATTTGCCAAAGGCCATGCAGGTCTCCAGACCTCAGAGGTGTTCTCCAAACATGAAAAGGAAAAAGGCTGTGTTCCTGACAGCTAGAGGAAGGGGATAGAGAGGTGAATGTAGTGTTGGTTCCCCAGCCTGAATTTGGAAGCTGTTCTTTTGCTCTGGTGGTTAATCAGCCTTTATCCAAAGCAACATGCTGCAGATCAGGAGAAAAAGAAGACAGATGAAGTTTAAAAAAAATAAGGAAAAAAAAAAAAAAAAAGTGAGGCTAAGGGTCTTTGTCACCATTACCAAAGCTGAATAAAAAAGTGCTTCCTCTGGCTGTCATGGAAGTGGGTGCATAGTGAGATCATTCCCTGGTGCAGGGAGGATGGGATCCACCCTTTAACTGCTGTAATGCTTCTGTATTTAGAGTGCTGTGTAAATTAATGTGTTTTCAAGATTCTGTGAGCTGGTGTACTAAAACGTTTGTTTATATGGGAAATTAAGATGAATTTTTGATTTACACAACACCACTGAAACATATTCCCTTATTTTCTTTTAAAATTTCCAATGTGCTCCATTGATCTGAGAGCAGTTTTTTGTTGGGATTTTTTGTTGTTGTTTGTTTGGGTTTTGTTTGTTTCTTTTAAGAAGAAGAAATTAATCAGCAATACATTCTGAGATACATTTTGTAGTAGGTAGTAAGCTCAAGAGATTTTGCTGATAGAAATTTGTGGGGAAATTACAGAGCACTCCAGGTGAACCTGTTCTGCAGCTTACTTTCATTTTAGCACTGCTGTGTCTAGAGAAAAGTAATCCTTTTTTCTTCCTTTCACCGTTTACGTTTCGTGTTCAGTTTAGTAAGTCACGTAGCTTGGAAAACCTTTACCTACCTTGTTTCCCAAAGAAACCTTTTATATCTAAATCATGTTCAGATCATAAGCCCGTAATGGATTTAGAATTGCTCTTTTTATAGCCTATTGATTTTTCTCTCTATTACCCAAATGGTTTTGTAGGACCCTTCTCTGAATCACAAAGCTTACAGAGATGCATTCAAGAAAATGAAATCTCCGAAAATCCCTTTCATGCCCTTACTTCTGAAAGGTAACGTTAAAGCTTGGCTGCTATTCTTCATTGTCATTAATTAAAATAAGCAAAAGATGAATTTTTTTTCCTGCAGGTGGCCTTATGGTAAGTGTGTGGCAGTTGTGGTCAAGCTACAAGACAGCACTTGATCTGGATAATAAACAGCTGCAGATGGCAATCTTCACACAGCTTTCCAGGCTTCAGTCCCTTTCCACCAGGTTTGGCAAGAGCAGAGTGCCATCACTTTGGCCACATCCTCCTACAGTGGAGTGGAGAAGTGAGACCTTGCAAGCCCCTGGGTGGGGCCACCTGGTTGTGCTGGGTGCACCACACAGGTGGCTTTGGCCACACTGCTGGTCTGAGATGCTTGCCCTTCCTTGCCAGAGGTGAACCTACCTGGTGTCCCCATCTCTCTGTCCTGAGAGGAAGAGAATTGCAAGTCTCTCATAGGTCTGAAAAAGATAAATTAAATCTTAACTATTGAAAAGGTGTTTTTTAAAAATTTATAAAAATAAAATATAACTAGTTGCTTAATGCAGTGAAATGGGCAGCTAATTAAGTGGCAGGTGTTTAAAATATTTTGTTATTTTCAAGTCATTAATTATTTATTGCCTTGTCTTTGAACATGGCAAATTCATTTGATTATTCCTGTGTTCTGAAAGTGTTCTCTTTAGGCTGTTTATTCCAACCTGCTGCTACTGAGTTTAAAATGTTTGAAGACGGTTCTCCAGCTCAGTCAGTGACAGTTCAGGAGTCATCAGGCACTTCCCCTTTGCATACATCAAAGGAGCCTGCATTAATTCAGATGGATACAATTATCAGGACTTCAAAAACAGTATTTTTTTTTAAGTGTTCTTGAGTATGTCTTGCCTACAAGCAAAAGCAGCAAACATAAACAAGTAACTTGTAGCAGTGATGTTTGCACAGCACTACAGTATGGTGTGTAAGAAATAAGCAGCATTAATGTCTCTAAAATGTACTTGAGATAGCAAGGAGACCTTGCAAATTAATGCAATAATTCTTCAGTATGGTTATTTTTAAGGAGATAGTGTCAAGGTGGGTAATTCTCAAACTATTGCACAGTATGTAGGACTTTATTGCGTGTAAGTCATGTTTGTATGAATGTTATTTCCAATAACAATAAAATAAGCATTGATGCCATAGAAATAATTAGTAAGTCAACAACTTACTGTATTTGAATAGCAGAGGAACAAAAGTAGTTTCAAGAAAAAAACTGAAAATTATTAATAACTTTAATTATGAAAAATAACTTCAGAGTGACACTTTAAAGTTAATTAAATTCAGTGCAGAGCTCTCTTACAGCACAGTCACAGCTTTTGAAATTCAGTCAGATTTTTCAAATATGTAATAAAATACTGTGATGTACCCTTACAATCTAGCTCAGATGCAATTTTCTGCTCTGCTGAATTTATCTACACTCTTAGTTGTTGAATGCAACACAAATTTCTGTTCTTCCAGCCTCAGAGATACACACATTGTTGTATTGACTTAAAAAGCTGCGTCCAAATTTCTTCTTCTCATAGTTCTTTATTAAATGTGATTGGTGTTTTTTTAAACTGCATTGATAAAGAAACAAATAATGCCAGTGTCCTGATGCCATGTCCTGAAGCCATGTCCTTTCCCTGTCTCTTTCACTGGGTGACTCATGCCTCAAAGCAACCCAGCAGAGGTGTAGAGGGCCTACTCCTTCCTTTCCCCCTGATTTTTAGGATCCTGCCCAGGGACAAGTTGGTGCTGGAAGCATCTTCAGGGCAGGATCTAGCTCAGCTGCCCTGGGTTTCCACCAGTATATGAAGCTGTTAAGGTATGAAGCCATTAACATTTCCATTCTGGGCATTTACAAAATGCCCTCTGAGCACAGAGGGAGTCTTTGAAACCAAAGGAAATAAATCAGGTTGGCTGATTTGGGGGAGGATGAAGGCAGCATCCTCCAGCACCAGCTGCAGGTTCCCAGTCCTAAAATCCCTTGAAACTAGCAGGACCTATTGTGCATGAGAGGGAGTCCTAGAGATGAGCACAGGAAAAAAATGCTGAGATGCAGTTAGGCTGTGTTAGACTGCGGGGTTGGAGGGTGGCACCTCTGCCAAGAGGCTGCCTGTTAACTCTCTGCCACTTGCCCGCTGACTTTTAAGAAGCAGCGATACTGAAGTGCCACCTCATTACAATAGTGCTGTCTCCTCCTGGTACTCCTGGGTACCCACACGTCAAAGAGAGAGCTGATAAGGGCCATGGTGGTGGTGCTCCTGCTAGTATTTTCAGTGTCCTGGAGGATGCACTGTCCTAGTCAGAGCTTCAGTCCTCACAGGGAATCTATCCATGCTCGTGGTACTTCATGTCCAAGATAGGTCTTTCTTTGTGTCCTAGTAAGCATTAGAAAAAATGGAGAAAATTACCTCTAGCTACTGTTTTAATTGTAATCGTAATTTAACATTTGTTTTGCTTGGTAATCCTCCCACTACAGTTTGTTACACCGTTCCCTTTCTGGCACCAAATCCAGACCTTTTCCTCTCGCTTTTTGTTGCCTTTGCAAATTCTCTCCAGCAACGCTGGGTAAAAGCACTTCTTTCTGTAACCCTAATGCCTGTTTCAAGGCTTTGAACTTCAGTTTGGTGGCTTGTATTTAACCCCTCTGGCTGGCCACTGCTGCGGGCTGTGTCTCTGGGGAGGACTTCAGAGTCATCGTGTCCCACAGAGGGAGACAAAGGGGTGTCAGAGCCAATGCCAGCATCTGGTGGCTCTGCTGCTGTGGAGCCCTGGGCCCAGGGACTGGCCAGCCCCAGCCTGGGCACAGCCACGGGCAGCGGGGCCGGATGGGTGCCGCAGGGTGCAGAGAGCAGACATGCCATGCAGGAATGTTCCTCTGGACGTCCCCACCTGCTTCCAGCCATCTGTGTGCTGCTTCACCCCAGAAGTGACACAGACCAGGTTTAACAAGAAATCCCTGCTCCTGTTTGAAAATCTGCTTGTTATGATGTGTGCATAGTGTTGTTATCTAATAATCTCTGCATGTCATCATTATACTAGGCTTTTGTTCCACTGTTAAAAGGTATTGTGTCAATCCTAAGGGGATATTTTCCTCTTTTTTTTTTTTCCTTTTTTGTTGCTATTTAGTAATTTTATTTCTTTATATTAAACAACAAAGCCATGGAGAATAATTACTTTCCTTTATTTTTTTTTCAGATGTAACATTCATCCATGAAGGAAATAAAACTTTTCTGGATAACCTTGTTAATTTTGAAAAACTGGTGAGCTAATTTTGTCCTTCCTGTTTTTCAAAGACATTTACATTTTCTTCTTCCCTTTCCTTATCTTGTACAGTTTGGAGGTTTTCTTCTGGCTAAATCAGAAAAATAAATGGATGTTAAAAAAAAAGCAAGCAGGATAAAACAGCCAAATAAAACCTAGTTTTATCTCCCCTGACCCTTTCTTCTGCTCCTCTCTATTCTCACTCCTTTATCCCGCACTTCTGTGTAAAATGGCTAAGCCTGTGATAGCCAGCATCACTGCCACACAGTCCACCCATTTTTTTCCCCATGGATATGTGTTTGTTTGCACCACTTTGTGAACTGTTTCTCTTCAGTTAAGTTCTCCTGCTTCAACTTTCTCTGAATTATAGTTCCTTTTTTTTTTTTTTCGAGGCACTAAAGAAAAGGTTTATCTATTTCATCACTTGCCACTGGTATCTTAATTCCAGGGATCTTAAATGAAAGTAAAATTTTTTATCCAGGTTAGATGATGAAAGAAATAGGGCCTGAAATGTGAATTAAACTGACTGTAAATACCACTATACTAACTTCTATGTAGAAGGGCACTTACTCTAAACATCATACAACATCTACTCTGGCATGGTATTACTGACAGAGGCTTGGTTTCTCTAATTTGCGTATTTCATTTCGTTGTTGGTAACAGTTTCATAGCACTGAGAGCCAGTTTATACATCTGAACAATAGTGGAGTGGGGAAACGTTGATTTTTATTTTTTTTGTTGTTGTTGGCCTGGAGTATTTGTTCAAGAAGCCAAAACATTCTTCTGAATTGCTCTAGATGTGCCATGAGACTGTTAGTCCAGATGGCTGTGCCTGGTGAATTGTTCCCAACTATTTTCTCCAAGTGTTTACACATTTGAGAATGAACATGCAACCATGGAATTAGATATGAACCAGATATTGAACTTACTTTTCTCATGCTATCATAGTGTATGTTATCTTTCAACTTGCAAGCAGATGTAGACTTTGACTTTTGAACCTGAGCTCTTCTTTTTATCTTTTCTATTTGATTTTTGTACCTTGTTGTAGAGTTTACAAGAACACTGATTTGCATTTAGTGAAAGGTTTTCTTGTCCCAGGTCCTTTAACTGTTTGACCCTTAGGTGTTTGCATAAAACTCATTAGCATGTTCTTCTTCATTGCCTCTTGAAGTACATCCAATTAACATGTAAATTAAACTAGCCCTTGATGCACAATAATTCTTACTAAAATCCCCCCACTGGCCCATGTATTTCTTTAGTGAATATGTAGGATCTGACTCTTGTTCCAGTCTAGTTCCAGACCGTGTTATTTTGTTTGTTTGGTTTTTGTTTAATTATGAATGTGTTTATTGTATGCTGGGCTTGCTGGGTAAGATTTCCTAACCCTTCTCTCACCAGTGTGTCTCTAGAGGCAGTGGGAGCTCTGCTAACTGACTTCAGTGAGCCACAATTTCACCTTTTCCATGCAAATGGATAATGGGCATTTTAAAGGGGGGAGGGAGAAATGTAGTCTAAGGTGATGGTGGTGAGTTGAACCGACACTTCCACCAAATTATTCACGGGAGCCCTATGTACATATGAATGCAGGCAATAGTGCAAGCATAGGAAGTGCAGGCTTAGGAGAGGTTTAAATATGAGTGGAGTGGAAACTCAGGCAGTGCTCCTATTACACTGGTTCATTTGGGTGCTAGGCTATTTAGCCCATGGGCAGGAACTTAAAAGATGCATCACACGTGATCACATATACCTCAGTTCATGTTTCTTTTCTAATTATAATGGCTTTGTTCTGAGGAAGAATGTCTTCCTTGGTGTTCTTTACTCTTCTGAGCACTTTCTGGCTTCTGCTGAGAAAAATTAGGATTGACATTGACTCCTGCTTGGTTTGGATCAAGCCACTGAGCCTCACCTGCAAATTTGCTGTTGCAGAAAAAGAATTATTCTACCATAGCAGATTACTGCTTTGGGGAAGGAATTTACTCACTGTCACAAGCACATTCTACTTATGAATTTCACAGTGAAGATTTTTTGTGTTTCCATTTGGATCCATGTTTTGAAATATTTCATTTCTGCATTAAACATCTCACCTGAAGAAGGACTTGTCAGTATGAACTACTGTTTTTTTCCAACTATATCAGTTGCTTAAATATAAGATATTCTCTCGCCCTACACACCCTGATTCTTTTATATTCTTAGACCATCATGGCCTCAACAATCCTACCATGGCTGAACCTGATTTGACATGGCATGATTGCAGTGAAGCCAAAGTTAATTCAAAATAAAAGAAGGGAATTTGCAAAGAGAAGAAAATGAAATGATCTTTTGTCTCAGGAATGTTACCTAGTTTTATCAGAAGCTGAAAAGATTGAAGTGGTTTATTTAACTCCACATTGGGTAAACTTTAGTCTAGAAAAGTGTTAGACCAGTATTTAGTACCATACCCATTTCCTTAACTAAATCTGGAGAAATAAATCAAAATATGGCCCTATACTGTTGCACATCAAGGTATTTCCGTGGTATTTACTGAGCTGCTTCACTGAAATGTGGCTTCTTCAAGTTGTTGTTTTTTTTTTTCTCCAGCCAGCCTTCACCAGTATCTTAGCAATTACATGTCTTAGTCACACTCCAGCAAACTATTAATACAGGTCAACGGCCATTGCCATTTTAGATTACACTTTCTTACGTAATGCCTTCAGCTTTAAGGACTGTACGTGCAGCTTGAAGGTTCTCAGCTCAAATATCTGTGAACTCCCAAGCCTGAGTTTTTGCTATCCTCAGTTAAAGGAGTGCTAATTGTCTTGGGTAGCTGGTGTGCTGAAAGGCCACAAGAAATGTGTTACTCGTCACACCAACAGTATGCAAGCACCTGTTTAAACAGTTAGGAAATAGCATTTCCTAACTTTGCAGGTGAATTGACTGACTTTCTGTATAACAATTGGATCCCAAAGAGTTGGAAATGGGCACAGAGGAATGCCTCATTAGGCTATTACAACTGAGAGATTTGGGATTCTGCTTTAAGGGAGTGTTACACAAAGAGATTCTTCTGTTACTAGAGCATCACCTTTAGAAGCCAGTCTTGGGATAGACCTCCACACTGACTGGCTACAAAGGAGAAACAGCACAGTATGACAGTGTGTGTGATGGTAGGCTCTCTCTTGTTTCTAAAAGCCAAATTCAGAGTGTCAGCAGTAAAATGTCACAGCAGCAGCACTGGTGGAAGTTGTAGCTCTCCCAGTATTCACAGTATTGATCATGAAATCGAGATCATCTCATAATCAGTGCAAGGACATCAGCACAAGAGATTACACGATTTCATGGCAAATGAAGCACAGCAGGTAGCAGGAAAAAAATTATTTTGATTTACTGAAGAAAGGAAAATGAAGTTTCCATTAAATGTGCTGTTGTGATAATCTCTCTGTGAAGGAGCTTTGTAAGCCACGCGCAGGCTGTTGAGAGATGAGGGGTTCTGTGTCATTCTGGTCTTAAACATACTCTGCTCAAGACAGTTAATCCTTTCCACCTCTGATTATTTTTGAGGGAGAGGTGAGAAGAGCATCAGCTGTTTGCATGAGGAGTTATATCATCCCTGCTAACAGCAATTTGCATAAAAATTAATTACTAGATTTGGTGAAGAGTAGCCACAGAAGTCAAATAAAGAAAAAAAAATAATGCCTTAAGACCTTTATGGGCAGCACTCCACCAATTTATAGTGAACAATTACAGTTTTCTTAAGTTGAAGCTCTCAGCCTGAACGAGAAATTGAACTTAAATCTTTTATTTCTTCTTCATCTAAATGACCATAAAAAAAAAAAAATCCCTGTTAGAACCAGCTTTTCTTAAAATAGTGTACCTGCTCTTGTTTGATGTGTGTCTGCAGAGGCGTCAGGGTGCTTGTTCTGGAGCGTTTTGGCTATGGGCTGGTTTTTGCTGTGTTGGTTATCACACTGCAGAAAACTGCCTGGCTGATTGTGGTGCCTCATTGTGCTAGCTGTTACATAAGTACATGCTAAGGTGTAGTCTGTGCCACAGAGGGCCTTACAGTCCAATTAGATGACACATGCAGTCAGAAAGAGATGTTGCAGACTACCAAATGCCCTGGATAATGCGGTAGGTCTGAGTGTTGAACCTGAAAGCATCCACCCAGTCCACAGGATTTCCCTGCTGAAGGTTTACAGTTGAATAAAAGTCACAGGAACAAAATCTAAGCAATTGTTTGGCTATTTTTCATTACCATTTTCCATGGGCTCTTAGGGAGTTGTTCTCATCTAATCTGTGTGATATCAGTAAAGACCTTCTAGACTAACTGTGTTTCATCGTATATTCTCACTAAGATGAAGAGCAAAGGCATTCCTTCTGTCTTCATTTTATACCTTACTACAGTCACTTTTTGCTGTACAGTGTAGGGCAAGGAGATATTTTTTTTTCAGGCTTTTCTAATGACAGAATCCATCTTGTAGTTTTGCCCTGATGTTTTATGTCTTGTCTTTGCAGCACATGATTGCAGATACTGTTCGGTCATTGAGACATTGCAGAAACAACCAGTTTGGTAAGTAGCCAAAATTTGCAGCTTATTTTGCCTTTATACAGCCTTGAATGTGGTTTCTTTTTTTTTCTTCTTTCCTTCCATTTGCTCAGGTTTACTACAGCAGCAAAATGTGGTCAACAGTTACTTAACCAATTGGCAAGAGGGGGCAGGGCATCATTGTTGTAAGGTCAGCATAGCAGAAACCACAGTTGGATGAAGTTTTATGGTACAAAATGTTTGTAGAAATGGCTTCCAAATTTTTTATAAATTACTTTCCTGCAAAAACTGTCATCTTCAAAATAGTGTTATGTGCCAGCTGCACTTAGTAGTGGAGTCCTCTGATGTATGCTGCTTTTTCTCACTTTCCCAGCTATAACTGAGTTACCGCAGCCTGCTGCTAGTTTGTGTTTGGTAGTGGATTCGCAGCTGCCTTGGCTTCCAGTAGCTAAAAGATGATATTCATTACCATAGCTTTTCACTTGGCTTTTTACCAAGAGCAATTGTTTGCTTAGTTTGGGTTCTTGAGGAAATTTTACAGAATGGTAAAAGTCCTGAAGATACTAAGATCCTGTGGGTTTCATGGAAGTAGTTGACTGGGAAGGAAAGAGGAGGTTGTGTTAGAACTTCTGCTAGGGGAAGCCTGCAAATAGAGCCCTGCCTGCTGTAGACACTGGAGGATCTGCACTGATGGGAACAGTCACAAGTGCCTCAGCTGCACAAAAGGCCTTTTCTTTCATGTTTCCACCTTATTAGCCACCAGAGAATCCAACCCTAAAGGACCATGACAGAAGACCTCAACTAATTTTGTTCTGCTGCTTACAGAGGAGAAACCTTATTTTTCTCCTTCTCAGTGTTTCTTAGTGTCTGCAGAGACATTAAACACATGATGGGGACAAACACAACTTTAGCTTGCTTCCTGAAATGCCTGTACGCC